TCCCGGGAAGCACCTGCTGTTGAGATGAGGCTCAGGGAAACGAGCAGATCAGCTTTGGAGTTCAGGTCTCAGCACTTCCATCTCGACTGCACTGACACAGGGCACAGCACTGGCACGTTTTACAGTGACTCTCCAAGTGGTCAAGGAGCAGCGTCTTGCCGTCACCCTGGGTGGCCCAGGGCTCTCTTCCTGGGTTGCATGAGCAATGCCAGGCTTGGGTGTTATGCGGCTGGCCCTCTCTTTCTCGGGCGTTGAGGATCATTTAGGAGATAAGTGAGATGAAAGTTGTCAGGAGCCTCTAAAACCAGCCTGGGGACAGGGCTGCGCTTCCTGCATGTCCATCATTGTACTAGGATCTGAAGATGCTCCCGGGAATGACCATGGAGTTGGATGTCATTCTAGGGACTCGGCCAGCTCTGGAACATTCTAGAAAAGGATTCAACGCTGTAGACCTGTTCTAATGAGACCTCATGGATGGTAGGACTGAAACGCGGAGTCTGGAGCAGACAGACACCCAGAACCCCACACCCCCGGCCTCCCTCGCTCTGTTTGAAACAGTCTGTTCTGCAGAGCCTGAGCCTGGGGACACAACTGCTTCTGCTTCAGAACCAAAGTGGGTGTTGGAAATCTGTTCCTCTCCCCTGGCTGCGCATCCTCAGAAAGCCACATGCCAGAGGGGGTCAGAGACGATCTGTTAGTGTCCCGAGTCCAGGCAGTAGCAGGAGACACTGCCCCACCATCAGGGCGGGAAGTGGGAAGGGCGTGCAGAGGTGGAAGAGCCGTTCTGTAGCTCTGGCCTTTGGACCGTGGCCAGACTCCCCAGTGCCCCCACCAGTCCCTAAAATCACCTTAGGAAAGCCCCAATGCGAGCGTCTTCAGTGCCTGCTCCTGCAGTTAAGTTTTGCAAGTGCCTCCTCACACCATCCCTCTGGGTACACAGAGCCTTTGATCCACCGTGCTTTTTGTTTGAAGCTGAAGTTCCAGATGCCCATGGAAATGAAAGTGGTGCAGCATAATCATCTGAGGCACATGAAGGGCGTCGGTGATGGTTTCTTTCCAAAAAGTGGATTCACGGTGCCCAGGAAAGAGTTCCTTACCCTCTTCCCGGGCTCCCTGGGCTCAGAGCGCAGGAGCCGGTTGGCAGGGGCCACAGGGATTAGCAGGCAGTGGGCCAGAGGGGTGGGTTTCTGCAGTGGCATGAGGACCCCTTAGTTCTGGAGCATCCCTGCAGCCTGGGGGGTGAGGATGCAGAGAGGAGCCCCGGGCAGCGGGAGTCAGACAGGGCGGGGCCGGCTTCCCACTCCTGTCAGTTCATCCCACCCTCTGAGCAACCCCACGGTGCATGGTCATCGTGTCCCTTCTACAGGTGAGGAAACTCAGACCCAGAAAGGTTGGGTGCTTAATGTCCCCAAGTCCCAGGATTAGTTAGTGCAGAGCCAGGACTTGAACTTGGATCAACTATAAAGCTAGGCTGGTGCCCATAAAGGAGTAGGCTGGGGCGTCTGGCCCTAATGTGGTGGGCCATGGGAGCCATTGGTGGCTGTAGAGCAGAGGAGGGGCTTGGTTAGGGTCAGTCTATAGGAATTTCAATCAGGCAGCCATACATCAGCCGTCAAGATGATCCCCATCCGTGCACTCTGGGGTGGCGTAGCATGGTCTCCTATTCCAAAGGGTTCCTGGCCTGTGGGGAAAAGACCCTGGCTTCTATCTGTGAGCACTTGATTTGCAATGAGTACTGTTCTGGACGGTTCCATATAGGGAGGACATTGAATTGTTAGGTCTTGATGAGAAAGGACCATCCGCGTCAACAAGATGGTGCAGGAATGAAGTACTTGGCACGTCAAGGCTGACTCACCTGGTTCCCCACCAGTGGTCCCTTCTCCTCTGAGTCTGTGTCTTGTTTGTAAATGGGGTGGGACGCTGGTGCCAGCTTGGTACAGTGGTTGGGGTGGCACTGGACGCAGCAGTCCCTGACGTTAGTGAGCAACGTGACTCTTGTAGAGGAAGCGCTTCTGCATGCTAGCTGTGACACTCAGTGTGACAGTCACGCCTGCTCTGCCGAGCTTGGAAAGGTTGAATGGTCTTCCCCAAGGCTGCGCTGCTGGGATTGGAACTGGGCAGTCTGACCCCAGAAGTTTTGCTCTGAGCCGTCTTGGGGGAGGGGCAGCGAATGGGGACCACACGGGACAGTCACGGGAGACGTGGGCTGGCTCTGAAGTGTTGCAGGACAGGATGGCACAAGGCCAGGGTTTTGTACATTCTCTTTCACGGAGGGCCTGTGCCTGGCTGGCTCCGGGCTAATGAACTGCCGTCCCCGTGGTGGTCTTTCTCCTTCACGAAGTCCACAGTCCCGCCACGCCATCCCCTGTGCGGGGAGAGCTGGGAAAGACGGCACTCACTGACGGCTCTGCTCGGTGCGTTTAGCAGCTCGTGGGTCCGCCCGTAACCTCCAACCCACCGTGCCTGGAGCAAGGGTCTTGGAAGATCCCCACTCCCGCTGCTCCTGGCCTGTGTGACCGCCACCTCTCCTCCGACGCGGTGATCCCAAGGAATGTGGCTTGTGGCTTGTCTCAAAGCCCCTGTTACTGGGTCCTAACTGTGCCCTTGGCGTGCGTCCTCCTGGGGACTCTCTCCATGTCTGTGTCCGCCACCCTGGACAGTGCCCACCCGCGCCTGTCATGGTGCAGAAGCAGCTCTGCCGGTCGGATTCCTCAGACCATCCCTCTTACCAGGGAGACCCTGGAGCATTTGTGGTCCTGTTCCAGATCCCCTAGACTTGACCCTGGTGCCCTCCTCTGCTGGTAGGGTCTTTGGGTTGCTCCCCGGTTTGGTACTTAAAGAGGCTTGAGGGACACCTGTGGGCTCACCGGCCTCCGCTATGCCCCTGCATATCAATAAAGGTGCATTAAAATGTGTTTAGGGCTTTGGGAGGAGGCGTGGTTTCCGGGTGGGTGGACGCGGTGGTGATGGTGTGGGACGTTTTGTCTCGTGGGGACTCAACGCTGAAGGTCCGTTCAAAACGCAGTGCTGGGGACCGAGCCCTCCCCTGCCGCCTTCTGTTTAAGGCCAGGATGTTCTCTGAGGCGACACGCTCGCTCACTGCCGTGCGCCCCCATCCTTCTCTTCTCCACGTGTCACGGGCCAAGCCTTCCGTGGGGTTCCAGGGACAAAGAGCCACGGACTTCAGTCTCTCTGCCCTTGAGGCTCTCACAGTCTTGTTGAGATGTGGTTTGACATGATTAATCAATGCGAGAATATTGGATTTCTCCAAAAGCTACTGTAGGGAAAAGATAATTATTCAAAGTCTTTAAATCTGTTACCCATTTTAATTGATTTAATTAGGTAAAATTCACAGAACTGTGATGCGGGAAGGAGCCAGAAGGCATTTACTTGTCCCCGTTTCTTCTCTCTGCCTTTGGGCCACATAGCACCCAGATCATCCCCAAACCCACACATTTCAGAAGAGAGCACACAGAGGTCTGGCCATTTAGACAACCTGCCGTGACCGTCCACGGGAGAGGGCGGACCCGTTCCAGGACTCACGGACGCAGCTGTAGCACGCTCCTGAAAGACACAGGCGACCCGTGCCCCTCGAACGCGCGTGCGCACAGTGGGGTCCCGTGTGCTTTCCTGCTGAGGTGGCGCTAGACAGGCCCGGCACACAGTGCAGAATGACACGTGGCTGCCATGCGATCAGGACCTTGGGGACTCTCGGCGTTTCTCACATCCTGACAAAGGGCCCACCTCTGCCTGGTTGCAGTTTTCCATCCTCCCACGGGTGTACGCACCAGTCCTGTGCCAATCCTAAAGGACCCCAAGAGGCCGTGGGGGAGTGTGGGCCTGGGGACTGGGCGTGGAGTGTCAGGAGCGGGTTCGGACACTGACTGGGCGCGTGGCCGTTTTCGGCCTCCCCCACCCTTGCCCATAAATGAGCAACTTCCTGGGATCCTTCTGGGGCTTTGATGCACGGAGCAGGGTGCGGATGTACCGTCGCCTGCTTTTCTGAGTGAAAGTTTGGTCTCGTGTTCATAGATTTTTGCAGATGTCAGGACTAATAGGAACCCTTAGCTCAATGCAGATCACCGTGTCACGCAGTGTGTGAACACTTAGTGGTTGCCTGTTGTGCTCGGAATGCTCCGTGTCTCTGCCTGCAGCCCTCAAGGCCCTACACAGTGGGGTTCCTGCCAAATTGTTTAACATCATTTATCCTTTCTACTCCTTGGGCCAGAATGCCCTTGTCTACAGTTCCTGGAACCCCCAAAATGTACCTCGGGACACCTCTGTCAAGCCCCCGAATTGTGTCTCGCCTGAATCCTCCTTCCACATTCCCACAGGCCTCTCTCGGTCACTGGTCCTGGGTTTGCTCGTCCCCACATTCCCACCAGGTCTATGAAAGCAGAGACCCTGTGGGGATCTGCCTCCTAATCACGATCTCCAAGGTCTAGCGCGAAATCGGCGCACAGAGGAGCTCAACCTGTGAGTGTCGGCGTGAACACACTGACGTTCACGTCGCATCTGCTACACGAGAACCTAAGTTGGCGTTACACAAACGCGACTCAGAGGGGCTTACGTGGCACAGGAACTTGCTGGCCCCTGTAGCCAAGAGGTCCAGGGCCGATGGCCTCAGGCATGGCACACTCCAGGGCTCCAGAGTGTCCTGTGAGTGTGTTTCCCGATGCTGCTCCCTTTCCCCAGTGGGAGCCTGGGGCCAGGGAGAGTTGTTCTGTTGGAACCAGGTGGACTCGAAGGTGGGAGAGGAGGACCGGAGGGAAGGAGAGCGGGTGGGGGTGGCTCAACAGCAGCACCTTCCTCTGCAGCTCCCTGATCTGCCTCAGAGCCTGGCACACAGTGGGTGCTCAGGAATGGTTTTAAATGGGTGGATGCGTGCTTGGCCTCCCCTGGCTGTAGGAGGGGCCCTCTCTGAGCCCAGACAGACAGACAGACGGTTGTCCATGCCCGCCTCGCTCACCCTCTGCTTTCTTTCCTTTCACTGTTGGCAGGACCCGACGTCCACCTTCTTCCAGTTTGGAGCGTCCATCCAGCAGCAAGCCACGGTCATGCTCAAGATCATGCAGGACTACGACTGGCACGTCTTCTCCCTGGTGACCACCATCTTCCCTGGCTACAGGGACTTCATCAGCTTCATCAAGACCACCGTGGACAACAGCTTCGTGGGCTGGGACATGCAGAATGTGATCACGCTGGACACGTCCTTTGAGGACGCGAAGACGCAAGTCCAGCTGAAGAAGATCCACTCCTCCGTCATCCTGCTCTACTGTTCCAAAGACGAGGCCGTCCTCATCCTGAGCGAGGCCCGCTCCCTGGGCCTCACGGGCTATGACTTCTTCTGGATTGTCCCCAGCTTGGTCTCTGGGAACACGGAGCTCATCCCCAAAGAGTTTCCATCGGGACTCATCTCCGTCTCCTACGACGACTGGGACTACAGCCTGGAGGCGAGGGTGAGGGACGGTCTGGGCATCCTGACCACCGCGGCGTCCTCCATGTTGGACAAGTTCTCCTACATCCCCGAGGCCAAGGCCAGCTGCTACGGGCAGACGGAGAAGCCGGAGACCCTGACTCACACTCTGCACCAGTAAGAGAGGGCTCTTTGCTTGCTCCCAGAGTGGGCGCAGGGTTTAGTTGCCCTGATTTTTTTTTTTTTTTGCTTGTTTCATACTCGTTGATGAAAATGTGCTCTGAAAACAGAGACTGTTGTGTGTGTGCAGACGTTTTGTTTTGTTTGATTCTGCCCTGTTTTCTCCATTTTCTTCCCATCTTGTTTTGAGATATATATCATCCTATTTTCATTTTTTTACAACTTTTTTAGATTCAAAAACTCTATCTGTCGACCATTTATCGTAATTATATCTCAAGTCTATCTAAATTCTTTGCAATGTGCATATCGTATTCTTCAATATGGATATGCCATGGTTTATTTTTCGAATCTGCATAATGATAGGAATTTACTTTTTTTTCCCCCAGATTGTTTTTCCGTTAGAAGTGAAACGCCAAGGATAATCATCACACTTGTCTCGTGAATCACATGTGCAATTGTTTTTCTAGGGTTGAGTCTAAGAGTGGAGTTTGGGGGTCATCGGGCAGGTGCATTTTTGATTTAAGTATCTATTGCCAAATTGTGCTTACCAAGTAACTGTACCCTCTACATTCACACCAGCATTTTGTGAAACCGGCCCACCTCCCACATCCGCAGCAGCCCGATATGCTTTGGTGGGCTGGATCTCTTCTGTGTCCGAGTGTCTTCGTAGGTCATTGGGAATCTTGGCGAGCATCAGTGCTAAGACGGCATTGCACTCCAGCATCTGGATGTATCATGATTATCTAACCTTTCCCATCAGGGTAGACGTCACGTTTTTGTTTCTGGGAAGTGTCACTGTACCTTGTGGCCTGTCATTGTGGCCCAGCTGTTGAGATTTAGCATCTCACTCCGACGTCATTCGCATGTTTCTGCCTAACGTTCCCTGGTTTGACCTGTGCTCATTTCTCAGGTGGCCAGCAGGGGGCGCTGTGTAGGGACTTGTCCAGATTCCAGCTCTACCTGGCCCACTGTCTGTAGGACTAGACCATCACTGCACCTTTGTGGTGCTTATCGCAACGTGACGATGATGTCGCCTATACCGAGGGGGTCATGCTCAAACGTGAGCACCCACCAGAATCTTTGGGGGGTTTGTAAAAATACTGGGCCCTACGCTCAGAGTTTCAAGTATATTCCTAGGTGTGGGGCAATTCCCAGGGGTTTCCAATTATGGCACATTCCTAGGTGGTGTGGACATTGCTGGCCTGAAGACCAGGCGCGGGGAACCGTGTTCTGGGGGTTGTCGTGAGGATTCAGTGAGATGCTGGGGCAGTGCTGCTTGGCACGGTGCCTGTGGCTGGTGATCATCTTACAACCCTCAGAGTCGCAAGTGAAGGTTCTGGTCATCAGAAATGAACGTCAGGAGACCTTGTTTGTCGATTGCCAGCAGGGTACTGCCAATCTGTCGCGTCTCAGGAAGATTCTAGGACTCTGTGACATTTCAGAGGTCACCTGTGAATCGGGAATTAAGGGGTGTGCGTGTGTGTGTGTGTGTGTGTGTGTGTGTGCACGTACATGATGTGTCTGTGTGTGTGATACACCTGAAAAACAAATTGGATCAAGGAAGCTGCTCCTTTGAGGTTCTCCCTTCCCGGCTGGCTCCTCTCCCCCCTCTTTAACCATCCTGTTTCTGCGACGTCGTGTTTGGCATTCCAGGTCCTTGTCCAGATAGAATTCAGGATGAGACCCGAGTGCTGGTTCTGGAGGCTGGGCTGCTGCGAGCCGAAGACAGGGACTGGGCTAATGTATCCGCGCTCTCCTTAACGAGATGTGCCCTGCAGCCGGGATATCCAGGATGTAGCATTTTGACGGGAACTTAACTCAATTGTAAGGCAACTGAAATGTAATCTATATAGGAAAGGAAACTCTGGGAGGATAATCGGCAAGACATCCAGGTCTTTCCAGGGACCACCTCAGAGGGCATTCTTTAAGAGAGAAACCCCGCTGCTGGGAGCCGCTCTGCGCTCCTTCCACGAGTCGTACCTCTGAATGCGGCGATTTTGTGAATGCCATTTCAGTCTAGAAAAGCCAGCAACTCTCTACGTCACCCTCCACTGCGAGGGTGTGATGAAGCACCTCTGTCCTGAGGGCTGGCGCTCACCCCTCCCCACCCCACGCTGTTCTTTGCACCACCTCAGGAAAGAGTGGCACCTGTCAGTCTGCCCTTGACTGACAGCTGGAGGAAGCCCAGGGAAACAGTTCAAAAAAATCACACACACTCTGTCTGTCTGCATCCGTCAGTCCTTCCGTCCAACAGACCCGTGCTCGCCCTGGAGCGCACAGATGACCAAGGTGTGACTTCTGTCCCAGACACCATACTGACAAGACGGGAGATAAAGACAGGAGAGATTTATCTAAAGACAGACTCAGGTAACAGGAATGCTTGTTGATTTCTTTTAAATATTGAAAAAGAAAATAGTGCAGGGTCTGATGGAATACCCGGTCCTCGTCACAGAGAATGAAGGTTGACGCGTCCTGTTTTCCCACGTTTTAAAAGGAATAAAACATTAAATGATCATGTAAAGTCTGATCACATCTCACACTGGCTCTGCTTTTCTCTCCTCCTCTCCATGGGAGGGAAACTACTACCACAAATTTGACACGTATCCACATCCGCGCACGCCTTTGTAGTTCAGGTAAAGCCTCATGTGCCACGGCACTCCGGGCCACAGTTCTTCCTGATGGAGACGGATGGTACCTGATAGGTCAGAGTTCCCGTTGCCTCCACCTTGCGATTGGAAGTCCCCTCTGTGACGGGGACATGTCGTCCTGTGTTCCTCTCGGTGGCTGCCTTGCGTCCTGTTGTGTGAGCACTTCATCTTTCACCTGGTCATTCCCCTGTGACGGACACCTAGGTTGTGATGGGAGGGGACCCTCACTCTGGGAGCTGCCGGCAGAGATGCGACCTCTCCAGCCCGCGTTGGATCCACCCCCGTTTTTAGCGGGACCCCAGGACTCTCGAGGGAGGGTCTTCTCACTTCAAGCTTGAAAAGCTGGAGGAAGAAGTCTCACTTGGCAGAGTGCTGGCCACATACACAGCTCTCAAGATGTCCCCTGTGTGACGGGGAAGAGGCAAAGAGCCTCAGAAGAGTTGGATGAATTTGCACCTGCCCGTCTCATGATGCCCGACTGGGACTCTGGTGTCCGTTCTGACTGGTTGAGCCACACCTTGGCACTAGCTTGACGTGTCACTTGGTGGCCCTCAGGGGCATTGCTCATGATTTTATGCATGGTCTTGTGTGGTCAGGGTATTACGGCAATAGGACCCAGGTCGGGCTGGGCAAGGCACAAGGGGCTCCTACAAGGGGGCTCCTTACCAGGGAGGGTGTGTGGGTGATGTGACCACGCACCTGTTTCTGTCCCACAGCTTCACAAGAGCACAGTAGGGGAGAGGGGGAGATTTCCTTTATGTTTAATATTCCTCGTTTTGCAGAGGACACTTTGGAAAATGCTGACTGCTCTTTTCAAAGTTCAAAAATAGCTCAGCCGAGTTATGTAACCTCCTCCTTGCAACTGCGAAGTTATTAAACATCTGTCCCTTCGCCATGCACAGAGCACATCCCGGGGCCATGGAGGTAAACCGTGACCTCTTTTGCTGGTGTGGGACCCGTTCTGTCCTGTTCATGAGTGGACAGGCTCCCCGGGAGATGGCATGGCATTGCAGTTGAGAGTGTGGCCTCTGGGGCCAGGTGACCTGGGTTCAGGTCTCTAACCTGCCCAGTTTTAGATCTGAGACTTGGGGTGAGTCCATCTGTTCCCTCCGGTGCAATATGGGCATGAGAAAAGCCTCTCAGACCCGGGCCTGGCCTGTGGGAAGGCTGTCCATAAATGGTCCCTAGTACACTCTGAGCATTTCCACTCTGAAAATATAAAATTCCAACATGCTCCAAAATCTGAAGCTTCTTGAGTGTCAACATGGTGCTACAAGTGGAAAATTCCACTCCTGACCTTACGTGATGGGTCGGAGTCAAAACACAGTGCTCTAAAAACATGGTATAAGATTTCCTTCGGACTATGAGTCTAAGGTTGTATGTGAAGCTTAAATGAGTTCTGTCTCGAGACTCGGGTCCCAGCCTGCAAGTATCTCGTTAGGTCTGTGCAGACAGCCAATATCGGACTACGTCCGTCCCCAGGCATTTCAGACCAGGGACACCCGACCTGGATTGATGAAACCTGTGGACAGACTTGGAGGGAAACAAGTGTCTTTGCTCACCAGAGCCCACGATATTTGTTCATGGTGAAAAAAGAAGAAATCCGTTGCCTCCAGTGGACTAGCACCAGATGACCCAGACAGCCACCGCAGGAGCCCGGGGCCAGCAGGGTGGCACCTGTCTCTTGTCTTCTCCGAGGTACAGGGCACCAGGACATCCCCTGGGAGAGCCCTACTCACCGTGGCAGAGGCACAGGAGCCAGGGAAGTGTCACGGTGGGCACAGCACCCCGAGGAGAGGAGCAGGACCCGAGAACTAGTGCCCCGGGGGCGGGTGCCAGGCTTCTTTGGGGCGGTCTTACTCTTTCTGCCTGTGCTACGTCTCAAGCTGCTGGTCCCTGTGCTGTCTCTGGTCCTCCGTGTGGGCCTGGGGGAGTTTCCTACCACATTTCAGGGCTGTGGAGTCAGGGATGCACAACCCTGCGTGTGCAGCATGGACGTGTGTGCACGTGTGTGTGCATGTGTGCGTGTTGGTGTGTGCACCTGGGTCCCCTCTTCCACAGTGGAGGGGACACACTTTACATTACTGAGAAAGGGGTCTGAGAAGGGAGAAGGTCAATATTTCTCATCTTGCCCCAGGATTGCCTGGGGAGCCTTGTGGCCCTGGGGGACGATGGGCAGCGTGGTGCAGAGAGCAGTCCCCAGCTGTGTGGTGTGACCGGCCGTCCCGTGATTCACCACGTACCCACCAGGCATGAGTTGCTGACCACTCTGAGCCCCGGGTGTGTGTGTGTGTGTGTGTGTGTGTGTGTGCGCGCGCGCGTGCGATGCCATCTCTTCTTACTGAGGCA